CGTTTACAAGAATTCTGTCTAGCTAGACCGACGCCACCGCACCTACAACGGTGCAGGTGCCTTCATATATATATATATATATATATATATATATATATATATATATGTATATATATTTATATATAAAACTATATAAAACATTTTCTTAAACTAAATTTTATATCATCATCATTACAGCCCTTCACAAGTCCACTGCTGAACATAGGCCTCCCCCAAAGAATGCCACAAAGCACGGTCCTGAGCCACCTGCATCCATCGACTTCCTGCATGTCTTACCAGGTCGTCACTCCATCTCGTGGGGGGACGCCCTACACTTCGCCTACCGGTACGAGGCTGCCACTCGAGAACCTTTCTTCCCCATCGGTTGTCGGTTCTTCGAGCTATATGGCCGGCCCATTGCCACTTCAGCTTACTAATCAGTTGGGCTATGTCGGTTACTCTGGTTCTACTGCGGATATCCTCATTCCTAAGTTTATCACGCAGAGAAACTCCGAGCATAGCCCTCTCCATAGCTCGCTGAGCGACCTTGAGCTTCCTCATACGGCCAGCAGTGAAGGACCACGTCTCAGTTCCATATGTCATCACTGGCAACACGCACTGGTTGTACAATTTCGTTTTCAGGTTTTGAGGTATGTCTGACGAGAAGATGTGTCGTAGCTTCCCGAACGCTGCCCAGCCGAGTTGAATCCGTCGATTGACCTCTCGGTCGAAGTTGGACTTACCTAGTCGGACTATTTGTCCCAGGTAAACATACTCGTCAACAACTTCGAGCTTAGTGCTCCCAACAACTACCGGCATAGGTGTGACATGGACATTGAACATGATCTTTGTTTTGTCCATGTTCATCTTAAGACCTATCCGTTGGAAAACACTATCGAGGTCATTGAGCATAGTGCTTAGGTCCTCCAGCGATTCTGCCATAAGGACTACATCGTCGGCAAATCGAAGGTGAGTGATGTACTCGCCATTGATGTTGATACCGTATCCTTTCCAGTCCAGAAGCTTGAAAACGTCTTCCAATGCAGCGGTGAAGAGTTTCGGGGATATGACGTCACCCTGTCTTACACCTCTCTGCAATTGGATAGGTTTCGTACTCTGGTTCTGTACTCGGATAGCCATCGTAGCCCTACTGTACAAGCACTTCAACACTTCGATATACCGACAGTCAACTTGGCACCGCTGAAGGGACTGCAGCACCGCCCAAATTTCGACGGAATCAAAGGCTTTCTCATAGTCCACATACGCCAGACATAGTGGCAAATTGTACTCTTCGGACTTCTGTACAATTTGCCGAAGGGTATGTATGTGGTCTATGGTGCTAAAGCCCTTTCGGAAACCGGCTTGTTCGGGAGGCTGGAAGTCGTCAAGTCTGCGCGCGAGACGATTCGTAATGACTCTCGAAAACAGCACGTAGACGCGGCTCAGAAGGGAAATCGGTCTGTAGTTCTTCAAGAGAGCGTTGTCACCTTTCTTGAAGAACAAGACCACCGCACTTCTGCTCCACGCCTCCGGTGTAATGCCACCATGGAGGACGGAATTAAAGAGCTTCTGAAGGACTTCAAGTACCGGTCTTCCACCCGCTTTCAGAAGCTCCGCTGTAATTCCATCCTCGCCTGGGGCCTTACCGTTTTTAAGGTACTGGAGAGCCATTCTAATCTCGCTCAGACTGACGTCCGGGATATCTTCGGAATAGTGTCGGATGAGACTCGCTCTTGGATCGTTACTCACATTTGCGTGTGGCTCCAACGATGACGTGTACAGCTGCCCATAGAACCTCTCAATCTCACTCAAAATCTCAGGTGTCCCGGAAACGATGCTGCCACATTCTGTCTTCAGCTTTGACAGGTGGCTCTTTCTGGCAGACAGATCTCTGGTAAAGACTTTGGAGCCTTGGTTCCGCTCGATCGCTTCTTCAATACGAGCTGTATTGAAGTTGCGTAAGTCCCGCCGCATGCATTTGGAGATCTGTCTGTTCAGATGCCTGTATGCTGTCAAGTCTGTTGAAGAATGTAGCTTCATCTCCCGTCTAACAGCCATGAGATTAAGAGTGTGATCGGAGAGTTTTTGTGTTCTTCTGCGGCGGGTCTTGCAGAACTTAGCTCCGACCGCATGGACAGTTTCCACGAGCTTGTCATTCATATCGTCCACTTCATTGCAGTCTTCTAGGCACTGAAAACGGTTTTGTAACTCGAGCTGAAAGGTTTCGGGACTTTGGAATAGAGCACGAGGGGGACGGAGCGTTGACTTCATTAGACGAGACCTCTCCAACTTAACGTTTAGGTTCAGTGTGCCTCTAACCATTCGGTGATCGCTACCAGTTTTCAACTTCGCGATCACGGAGACATCACTGAACAGTTGTCGTCTGGTCGTCATAATGAAGTCAATCTCATTTTTTGTCGAACCGTCGGGGCTCGACCAGGTCCACTTCCTGTGGGGCCGCTTCTGGAAGAAAGAGTTCATCATAAAGAGTCCCTCTTTCTCCATGAAGTCGGCCAGCTGCTGGCCCCTTGGGTTCCGTTGCCCTATTCCAAATTTCCCTACTTTCAGCTCACCGTTCTCTCTTGTGCCTAGTTTTGCATTGAAGTCTCCCATTAACACCGTATATTGGGTTTTGGAGGAATGCATGGCTCTAGAGATATCCTCATACATTTCCTCCACCTCCTCATCGGGGTGTGCCGAGGTTGGTGCGTAAACCTGTATGACCTTCAGCGAATACCGTTTGGTGATTCTGAGTATAAGGTACGCAACCCTCGTCGACACACTCCCGATCTTTACAACGTTGTTAACGAGAGACTTGTGGACGATAAATCCGACACCTCCTTGGGACAGATGGTCGCCCTCCCGGTGATAGAGCAAGTTGCCGGATTCGAGGATTACCGTGTCCTCCCCCTCTCTTCGGACTTCGGATAATCCTATAATATGCCAGCGCAACTTGTCTATCTCTTCTTCCAGCTCCACGATCTTCTCGTCAGTCCTCAGGGTGCGTGCGTTGTACGTTGCCAGGTCGAGTCGTCTAAGGTGGCAACCGAACCTCCACCGGAGATTCTTAGCACCCCCTATATTAATATAATAAAATTTTCAAAATATTCTGTTACACTATACGACTATAAACATTTATCAAAAAGCCATGATTTTAGCGGCTTCATAAAGAGAGGAGAAGTTAATTCCCTGATATCAGAGGGAATTGAAATGACGACTACTAAAATTTTATTACAAATTTTATGAGTTGTCTAAAACTATATATGACTTAAACGGAATCTCCCGCGCACGGCACCTACAGGGAACTTTATACTACAGACACAAGAGGCGGTTTCTCGATATACCCTCCATTCTACCTCAATACAACCGGATATTTTATAGACGCTCCGATATAGTTTAAGAAAATGTTATATATATATATATTTATTTATATATAAAACTAAAACATTTTCTTAAACTAAATTTTATATTAATATAATAAAATTTTCAAAATATTCTGTTACACTATACGACTATAAACATTTATCAAAAAGCCATGATTTTAGCGGCTTCATAAAGAGAGGAGAAGTTAATTCCCTGATATCAGAGGGAATTGAAATGACGACTAGTAAAATTTTATTACAAATTTTATGAGTGTATGTAGCAATTTTTTACATGATTAAGCCAAAAGGTTGTTAGTGTCTCTCGTATGTAGCCGTGGATTGACCATTTCAATTTTCTGAAACAATTGTGGATGATTTCTGACATAAAGTCTTACTTCTAAGATGTAGAGGCATGTTAACGTCAATAAATGCAATTCTTCAAATAATGGTCAGCAAGTATCACTTGGTCCTGCGCCTGAAATAGTCATTCAGCGAGGAAATGCAGCCAGCGTTCTTGGCACAATACCACGTGGAGTAGGACTGTATTATAATAAAGGTTTTCAGTTTTAGTTTTTCTTTATTATAGTTTTTTTTGAATAATGTATATATTTCATTAACTGTCAATTATTCATAAATTTTTACTAAAACAAGACTTAAATTGAAATAAATAGCAGCAAAATTAACCTAATCAATAGTTTTTGCTATTGTTTTATTTGCATTAAAAATGAATGTAACAATATGTACAATCCAATCAATCTGTTAAATTCTTATTTCGCGAAGCCAGAGCGAGAGCCAAAAACCATGACCATGACATATAGAAAAATGAAGGTTTTAGGTAGCTTAAGAGAGTGTTATGTATCAGTTCTTGGAGGAGGCCTATGTCTAGCTAAACTTGTGAGGGGCTGTAATGATGATGATACTTCTATGTGTATAAATTATTTTAATAAAAAAGGCTTACATTGAATTCAATATGAGTATAATTAAACAAAGTAATATTTTCTATTATGTTTTATGTGCATAATAAATTAATTTAACAAAAATGTGCAACGAAATCAATCTGTTAACTTACTCAAGCAGTTCACGTCCACTGCAGCGAAGTTTCTTAGAGCGAGGTTTTCTTTTAACCGTACTATCCTCGGGATATCTAAATGCACTGTTCTTTTAACGGAAAAGAAAAGCAGAATACATCGTAATTTCAAATTGGCATTCACTGGAGGGAAATCAACTCGCAAACTCCAGTGGCGTCATTTTAGGTCTAAGTCTTTATATTTATTTTCGTTGGCGTGACTGTTAGTTTTTTATATAAAATTAGCATCAGGTGGACTGCGTGCTGGACAAGTGCATGAGCCACCTGATCAGTCAGTGGACGCTGGGGCCCATAGACATCTACATATTAAGAATCAATATGCGGATGTACCGTCACTCTTAGGGGTCCTCTAACCCTTTGGAATTGAAGATGCCTCGTTTTGCAGTACTCAAGGTCACACATAAAACTTATGTTTACATTGCTTTGCTTATATTTGGGATTAAGATCTGTAGTAATGATAGCAACATGTATGTTGGTGTTTGTATTTAAATAAATAAATTTTCGTTATCAATACTACTATAATACTGTTTTTGTAAGATTAGTATAGTATATCAACACTTTTGTTTTTTCAGCCAATTTATGTGAAATCTCCTGGTGAACAAGTGCAGTACCTAGAGATTCAAGGATGTGGTGGACCGCTCTGCGACCTTAAGAATTTCTATGCCATCACTTCTCCCTATCTGCTTGGTGTTGACGAGTGGAAGGAAAGGTGTAACTATGACGAGAACGCTACATTCGACAGTCAAATATACGATTGAGGAAGCGTGATATATTAGAATTAATTAGTGTTAATTCAAATTGTGATAGACTTAAGTTGTTTACCTTCTTGCTTTATAAATAATTAGGGTTGGATCTGAATGGCATCGGAGGTTCCACGAAGGATGGCGCTGTAAATCAATGCTGCGTCGCAATAAGAATTCTGGCGCAGAAAAATACCGAGCTGCTGACCTCGATTGTCGAAAATGTGTACAACTTCAATTTTTTTTAGGTTATACATAGATACATACGTTTTACGTGGTAGAGCCATGCTGCAGCTATATTATGGTTGTAGCACGAATGGGTCGGCTCGAACGGGGAAGGACCACGCTCTCACAGAAAACCAGCGTAAAATAGCAGCTTAACGCTGCTGTGTTTCGTATGGTGAGTGTAGAGAACCGGAGACCCTTTTTACTGGCAAAGAGGCATTCCATCTTAGTCCTCACGGGTGACAACGCATGTGCATCTTGAGTCTTTATTGAGGATAGATGTAGATGTCTATGGGTCACAGTAACCACTTACCATCAGGTGGACTGTGTGCTCGTTTGTCACCCGATCCTATAAAAAAAAAAAAAAAAAAAACATAAAGATAAAAATTTACCATCTAGTGGTGGTGTAATTATATCCACTACCCCATATCATCCCTTGGGTTTTGCAAGAGGCGACAGAGGGAACCTAAATCAGGAGATGGGCAGCAACTTGCCAAGCGTGGCATCTATGGCAAATATCCCCCTATGAGGCAATCTATGGGGGAGGCATTTGTTCAGCAGTAGACTTTAATTGACTGTAACGGTAACGGACGGTTCGTGTAAATTATTCACACTACCGGTGCGTCGTCGCTCATTCCTTTTCCAATCTTGGCTAACACATTGCCATGTGCCTAGATAAATTTAAATGATATGTAGAAAGATGTGTTCGGTAAACGCGCAAACGTCTGTCTTCTAATGATTAAACTGTACTAGATTTAGTCGCCCCCAATCCGAGATTTTGTTCAGCAAAATCTCGACTTCACACACAAGTTTGTCCCGGTACTAAGCGACCTTTTCCCGAGAAATATTGGCACGGCCGGTGTATAGAGCATCACCACTGCTGTCATCCGCATATCAATGAATGGTACCGGTTTGCAGCATATAATTGATATTAAGAAAAAACAACGTCGGCTTGTGATCGGAGCATGCACCGTCTACAACGACCTTGATGCTCCGATCTGCAAGAGAGCTGGTGATTCAATTGCACAATTTCTCGGGAAGCCCATGGGAAGGGAGCTTCGAAAGAAGCGCTTTGCGCCAAGCCCGATCCAAGGCCTTCGCACTGTTCAAATTAACGACCAATGCCTCCCCCTCGGACTCTACTGCCTCCGCACATCTATAAATCAGGTACACCAGAAGATCACTAGCTGATCGACCCCGACGAAAACGAATCACTAATCAGCTGGTGATCCTTAAGGTACCGAAACCGAACTTACAGAAACACATGAAAACTATATAACATTTTTATTTTATTTTGCATCTTCGAAAGAACTTCCATTTTTGTAACAAATAGGCGACAAAACAAACTAAGGTCATGTATTATAGTGCCATGGAAGTCGTAAAACTTATATAAAAGTAATGGACTACTTTAAAAGATGTTTATTACATATCGTTTGCGGAGAAATATATGTATGATGAAAACGAGGATGTAAATTCCACCACTAATTGGGTTAGCGCGGTGAACATTTCCTTGCTCTAAAACCCATTCAAAAATGACAGGCCTAACTTTTTTACGTAGTAGAGTCCTGCTGCAGCTATATTATGGTAGTAGCAAGAATGGGTCGGCTCGACCGGCGAAAGACCACGCTCTCACCAGCGTAAAATAGCAGCATCGAATTCGAATGCTGATTGTAGATAACCGGAGACCCCTTTTAAGGAAAATGGGGCATTCCATCATAGTCCTCAGGGGTATCAACGCATCTGCATTTTGATTCTTAATTGTAGATAAACGGAGATGTCTATGAGCCACAACATTTTCTTGCCATCAGGGGACTGTGTGCTCTTTTGTCACCCCCATTGTACAAAAAAAGCCGTGTGACGCATATAGGCCGATACTTTATAATTTTTTGACTGAACGAATGGTTGATTCGTCATTATAACACTACGTTCTCCTCTTAATCACAATCATCTCAAGCATTTTACTGAAAATGCCGGTAATGTAATTAATACTTACTTACTTATCTTCACGCACAATCCCTGACGGGGTAGCCAGAGAGAACAGATCGCCAAGTGTCACGATCCTTACATACCTCTTTCGCTTCTTTCAGATTCATTATCTTCTTCATACATGCACGTCTAGGTATCCGAGTACTCTTGACCCTACCCTCTTCGAGCAACATGCTCACATGGTCTTCGAAAGTTGTCTCGGTCTACCTCGACACCTTTTAATATTAACTTTCGCGTAATGTAATTAATAATGTAATTATATTCTTATTTTTAGAGATTTTAATCTGCGTGACTTTCTTTGGACTCCTTCTAATGCAGATTCAAAGCTTAAACCAAGCAATTTCGATATTATCTTCGGTTATGAACTCGTCGACTTTTTACCTAGTTATGATCTCAAGCAATACAATCCGATCTCTAATCACCAAGGCCAACTATTCGACCTCGTGCCGAGTAACACAATCCGTGATATTTCCGTTAAAAAATCCAACAATATAATTTCTCGAATACTATCATCTCCCAATTGAAATAGACTTAGTTTTAAGTAAAGCAAAAATTCTCCCTCCAATATAAACTACTAAATATAAGTTTTTTTTTTAGCGAATTATGGTAGTATACGAGCCCGTTTATCCGAACTTAACTGGACTTCGGAGTTCCAAAACTGTTCGACGGTTGATGAAGTCGTATCGAAGTTTTACTCTATTATAAAAAAAGTTATCACTGAATTTGTTCCATGTCACATACAAAACAAAAAATCATATCCTCCATGGTATAAAACAAACTTCATAAAACTATTACGAGAAAAAGAAAAATCTCGTCAAAAGGTTAAAATGTACAGGAATGAATTAGATAAATTTGAATACAATATCTCAAAAGTTAGGACTAAAATATTAATTAAAAAATGTTATGATAGTCAACAACATTGAAAATGTTGTTGATATCGTGGTTAAAGACCCCAAGTACTTTTGGACTTATATAAAAAATAAACGTAAGAATAATGGTTGTATACCGTCTAATGTGAAATTTGGAGACAAAGAAGCCAATAATGGAGAAAAGATTTCGGACTTGTTTGCAGAAAATTTTGAATTAGTATATAAACCTATTGATATTAGTTTACATATAAACAAAATGGCAATACCAAATTCTGCTTTAAATTTTTATTCAAATAATGACAGTATTGAGAAATGCTTAAAGGCTTTAGATATTATTAAGGGCGCTGGAAGTGATGGGATATACCCCTTGTTTCTGAAGGACTGCACAGTAGAGCTCACGAAATCTTTACATACTATTTTTAATAGATCATTATCTAAAGGTATATTTTCGAAACGTTGGAAGGATGCAATAATTATACCATTACATAAATCAGGTGATAAAAGCAATGTCTACATTGCTATTATCACCTGATTTAAACCTGCAAACTACAGACCTATTAGCATTCTTCCAGTTTTAGGTAAAGTTTTTGAATCACAAAGGAGACAATTTCTTCTTGTATGGAGAATGGGCCCATCACGAATTTCAGAGAATTTTAATGAAATGTATATCGATTTATTCCTTATAATCTATAGATTACAAAATTAATATTAGTTTTATCGCATTTAATGGGAATTCTGAGAAATTAGTAATTGAAATATGAATATTACAATAACCTTAAAACAAACTAAAAGCGATTATCTAGTAGTTTTCACAGATATTATGAGTTAGAATAGTATATATAGAATAGAATAGCTTATTAATTAATAGTATTAAACAGTTGTAGGTACATTCAGCAATTATAGGTACCTACTTTAAGATTGATGCAAAATCCTTTTAACACTTCACGTAGTGCACAGACCAACAAACGTAGTGTGGGGACTATTTTTTACAGGTATTGATTAGTGAATATAGATCACAAACACCATTAAATTAATTAAATAAATATGATTAAAGACAAGATGAATAGCGGATAATATGACCATTTATAATATTACCTTTACATGCTATATAGTAAGATGTTTTAAACTGGTTGTATAAGGCTAAAACACAAAGTAAAATGCCACTGCATTTATTGTTGTAATTATTTCCAAAGTAGTCTATTAATAGTGGAACAGATAGGTGTCAAGACTTTAATATGTTTTGGTTGAATCAGTAGAGGGGCTGAGCTTTCCATTGACGTCAGTGGAGTTTGGTGTTGATACGTATTTTTACAGAAAGATTACACTATTATAAGCACACACACAAAGTCTCAATATACGGAAACGTAATTTTTGAGAAAAGAATAATTGAAAATCAATTATTCTTGCAATGTTTATATCTAATCTGCTAATAAACTGGCGCCATTTTGTAATGTCATTGTCGACGTCAATAGGGATGTCGATTCTTTCCGAAAAAGGTCGATTTTTTAAATCGATTCAAATCGTAAGCTGATGTATCGGTTCACAAAAAATCGATTTCTAAAATATCTATATTTTTTTAATGTTTCTATTTATAATGTAAATATAAACCCATTTTATGAAAAACAAGAAAGATACCATGATAAATGATCTCTTATTGAAATTTGTTTTATTTAACAGTACCTTATTACCAGTATTAGGGCAGGTAACAAATAAAATAGGTTAGGTTCAACTTATGTCAAAGAACCGAATTGATTGACCCCGACTCCACCTGGTACGAGTCTGTCCTACCCCTAGAGTGGTTTTATAGAGCCGGAGAAGCGTAGGGGGAGCAGCCTCCGCCTGCTGTAACAAATCGTAGGCATCGGGCGAGCCGGAGCGGCTGAGGCTGGTCGCCGAAGGCGACCAACAAGCCGAAGGTGTGGAGGCGAGGAGGGATGC